GTGGTAGACTGCTGGAGCCCGAGAGATCAAGGGTGCAATGAGGTGTGATCATGCCGGTGCATTCCAGCCTGGGTAACAGAGCAAGACACTGTCTTAAATAAAATATATTTCATCGTCCCTAATTTTCAATTCCAGATTATTTTTGAAAGGGTGCCCAGCCTAGTTTCATAACTTCCTATTTTTTTTTTTTTTTACAACTATTACACTGTTTTCCTGAGAAGTTTAAGTATTCTTACAAATGAGTACTTTCATCAAGATTTCTCTCTCTCCTGAGTTATAAACCTTTCTGTTTGTTGGATTTGCTAGTGGTTTTTCGTGCCTTATAGTCTTTCTGTGTACACCTGAATAAGTTTGGCTAGTTATTAAAAATTAATAGTAACACCTCAGTTGGAGGCTTTTGTAGCCATCGCATTCCTCTTGTCAAATGCTGCCGTGGAGATGTCGAAAGCTAGCATACTTCTTTTCCCTTTATAAATGGCTTCTTGTTTTCTCCTGGCCGTCCAGGGCTTCTGTATCTTTATTGTTCATATTATTCTTTATATTTTAGTATTGATTACTCACTATGAAATTTTCTTGGAACATGATGTGCCCTTGATTACATAGATTCAAAGATACGATTTAGGAAAACTAAAATGTTCTAGAATTACACTATTTCATACTGTTTCATTTCAGGTTATTTATTTTTTCAGACAGATTCTCATTCTGTTGCCTAGACTGGAGTGCAGTGATGGGATCTCAGCTCACTGCAACCTCTGCCTCTTGGGTTCAAGTGATTCTCCTGCCTCAGCTTCCTAAGCAGCTGGAATTACAGGCATATGCCACCACACCCAGCTAATTTTTGTTATTTTTAGTAGAGATGGGGTTTCACCATGTTGGACAGGCTGGTCTTGAACCCCTGACCTCGAATGATCCACCTGCCTTGGCCTCCCAAAGTGCTGGGATTACAGATGTGAGCCACCGCATGTGGCCTCATTTCAGCTTTCATTTTATTGCTTTCACTCTAATCTTTTACCTCTTCATTTCCATTTGTTTTTATTCTCCTTTATGCCTTATTGCTTTTTGCTTTCATTTCTATAATGATATTTTCTTCTTTTCTGAGGTCTTCAAACTTAATTTCCTTACTTTTTCCTTCCTGATCCCTTCCAAGTCATGATCTTCTTTATATAAACCATCGCTGGTTCTAGTTGTTACAAATTGGTTGCAGTGTTTATCCTCATATGGCAACGTTTTGAGAGAAATGTCTTCCTGCCCTTGCTTTTCTTGTTCTTCCACTTTTTCCTTTGTATGGTGCCTATGCAGTTTCTTCTTATCTTCAAGTATGCTTTTTCTGATCCAGCTATTTGGGAGAATTTAATATAGGTCTGGGAACAGGAATTTTCCTTGTGGTGACCTAAGTTTGAATGTGAGCATTATGAGCCTTTTCTTCCTCACAGCAAAGTCACACAGGTGTCTCAGGCAGATGTGGTTTGTCAGGCTGGTTGCTCATTCATCCCCACTTCATCTGCAACTCTGAAGCAGCAAGGTCCTAGAAAACTTCAGTGCCAGTCCTTCCTTCTGGAGAACTCTCTGGCTTTTATGTGGAGGCTGTGCTCTCTGTACTCCATTCTCCTGGTCCCCTTTAAGCAGCCTCTGAAACTGACATTTCAAGGTTTCACTTGTCTCTAATGTTATCAAAGAGGTTCATCTGTCCCTAGCCTCCGTGAGCCAGCTTCCTTATAGTTAAACTGCAGGGGCCAAGCATGGTGGCTCAGGCCTGTAATCCCAGCACTTTGGGAGGCTAAGGTGGGTGGATCACGAGGTCAGGAGATCGAGACCATCCTGGGCAACATGGTGAAACCCCGTCTCTACTAAAAATACAAAAATTAGCTGGGTGTTGTGGTATGCACCTATAATCCCAGCTACTTGGGAGCCTGAGGCAGGAGAATCACTTGAACCCAGGAGGCGGAGGCTGCAGTGAGCCGAGATTGTGCCACTGCACGCCAGCTGGGAGACAGAGCGAGACTCCGTCTAAAAACAAACAAACAAACAGAAATGAAGATACGTCCTACCTTGCCCAATTGCAATTTTGAGTAGAGGAGAGAGCAGCGTTTCTCAAACCATTGGCATGCATTTATGGCTGACTTGTTTTCCTTATTAACCTTTCCCTCCCTGCTTTCAGGTAGTTACTGCACGTGGTTAGACTACCGCCACATGCTCCACTGCCTCTGCACATGCTGTTCCCTCTGCCCATCAGCTTTTCTAGCAACCATGGCCTTGTAACCAGTAGCCTTGCCATCCCTGTCCTCAGACACCCTGTCCATACGTCCAATTTGGCACCTGTCAGTCCAAGTCCAAGTCATAGAGTGATGATCTTTGTACAGTCACTACATAGCATAAAGAGGATCCACTGAATAAATGGAAATGAGTTTTCCACATTCCTCAGTGTATCTTGCCCTAATGTAAGGGCTACAGGCATCAAGTCTGCAACAGGAAACAAACGAGCCCTTTAAAGGGACAGTGCCCTGCAAATTACCAGGGAAGGATTTTACCAGCTCTCAGTGGTATACTTCTCCTCCACCACCACTCCGCCCTGCCTCCCACATACTGCCAGAATGTACTGGAAAATGACTGTTTTACTCCATAGCAAGTTTTCTTCTTCCTACCTCCCATTAACCAGGTTCAATGACCTCCTCCTACGATGCCGAGAACTCGATACTTGGACACAAGACCTTGTCCTTCCAGCTGTGGTGTGGCTCTCAGGCTTCTTCAACCCTCAGTCCTTCTTAACTGGTAAGGGCTGAAGCAGTGCAGTCCCCGACGCAGACAGGACCATACCCCTAGCAGAAGTCCTGCCTTGCTTTATGTATGACGGCATCGCCTTGCCCTGCATTACAGAAAGGACCAGCAGCTACAGAGGAAACAAGTCCTGGGCAGGCGAGTAGCAGCAAAAGGGAAAGGACTTCCTACAGTGAGGTGGGGCACGGCATGTACCCCGGTAAACATTTTCTGGAAAGGGCCACATGGTCTGTGGTGCAGCTACTCTCCTGTTGTAGTGCAAAAGCAACCACAGACAATACACAAATGGCTGTGGCTGTTCCAGTAAAACTATTGACAGAAACAGCGAGCTTGTCCTGCAGGCCTTCGGTGGCCAATCCCTGCTCCAGCATAGCCATGTGCAAATGCCTGAGGACCTAAAACACCCTATGGGACTAAAAGATGCCTCAGTTTACTGGTAGTTCCTGGGAACCTTACATACAATGTTTTTACCCTGTTGATACTATTGCATTTTTGTTTTGTTGCCAAAGCAATCATGCAGACAATGGCCCGAAAAAATGAGTGGCCACTGGATAAAACGTGCCTGACTGTTGACGTTACCAAAAAAACAAAGGAAGATTATGGCCACCCGCCAAGGGAAGGTGCATACCTCCACGGGCTCTTCATGGAGGGTAAGACACCTGAGGAGTAAGTGGGGAGCCTTTTCTTGGTCAGGTTCAGATCAATGTTGGGCCTCTGCTTATGGTCTCTCAGCATCTCCTCACACAGTAACCTTATGCTAATCATTATTTATCACATTTCTTCCTCTTAAAACACTTGAAATGCTGGGATGGGTGTCCAATGTGAACCACATTGTAAAATATTGGGGGTGATGGCTGTCATTTAAATTTTGCACATCTGGGTATTAATGCCACAGAGTTACTTGAGACTGAATTGACATTATTTTGGTTTTCAATATAATCGTTTCAAAATTTATCAGTAAATTTACTCCCATATTTTACTGCAAGACTTCTCCAAGCCCTGAAGATGCTACTGCATAGGGTGAGTCTCTAAGAGGGGGCTAGACTATGCAATATTTTCCACATTTATGTGGCCATGCATTATTCTGCAGGACAATTAGTCCTGACTAAGATGTTCCTTTTTGATTTCAACTTCTGATGTTAAATGAGTGTCTGGTACTTGGTGTGACAGGGAGGGAATGTGGTGAATTGGAGATTTGTTACACTTGTTTTAAAAGGAAGAGCAAACTATTTTAATGTATGCGAATTCTCTCAGAATCCCAGAGCGTTTCTCAAACCATTGGCGTGCATTCCTGGCTGACTTGTTTTCCTTATTAACCTTTCCCTCCCTGCTTTCAGGTAGTTACTGCACGTGGTTAGACTACCGCCACCTGCTCCACTGCCTCTGCACATGCCGTTCCCTCTGCCCGTCAGCTTTTCTAGCAACCATAGCCTTGTAACCAGTAGCCTTGCCATCCCTGTCCTCAGACACCCTGTCCATACCTCGGCCACAGGCAGGGTAACCTACCTTCCAAAGCTCAGACCGGCCAGCTGGGTAAAAATAACCACTGACAAGCAAAAATGGGACAAAACCAGAATGTTTATTGCCTCAAACAAACAACTAGATCATCAGTAGCAACATGCCACACAATTGCAACCGTTGTGTTTTTGTCATAGGCGCTCGATGGGACACCCAGTCAGGAACCATTGTCGAAGCCCGTCTCAAGGAGCTGACATGCCCAATGCCGGTCCTCTTTGCGAAGGCCACGCTTGTGGACAGACAAGAAACCAGACAAACCTACGAGTGCCCAGTGTACAGAACCAAATGGAGAGGTCCCAGCTACATCTGGACCTTTAGGCTGAAGAGCAAAGAGAAGACTGCCAAATGGGTTCTGGCCGGAGTGGCTCTGCTGCTAGAAGCGTAAGGTAACACAGGCGTTCCTCTCGCCTCAGCTGGCGTGCGGTGAGGATCTTCTACTGTATTCACTGTTCCTCTGCACCTTAATGTATCCTATTATAAGGTTTTAGTACCTCACACGTGCATTCTCTTTTTTCAACACTATGCTTAAAAAGTGAAGGGGAGAGAAAAATCAGCAAATGCAGAAAAAATACTAGAAACCTACTCCGAATCTATGTCCAGTGATTGACTGCAGCTTTCCCTCTGAAACCCCATGGCGCCCTCAAGACACAAAAGTACATCTGAGGCCGGGCACGGTGGCTCACGCCTGTAATCCCAGCAGTTTGGGAGGTTGAGGCAGGAGGTCAAGACCATCCTGGCTAACAGGGTGAAACCCCGTATCCACAAAAAATTAGCGTGGCATGAGCTATGTGGGAGGCTGAGGCAGAAGAATCATGTGAACCCGGGAGGTTGCCACTGCACTCCATCTCAAAAAAAACCACACAAGTACGTGTCAACATACAACTACAAAAGAAATGCAGCCACCAAGAAAGAAGGGGCATTTTTAAACAGCAAATTAAATTAAAAATTATTACCCCCTACATTCTTTTGCAAAATATCGAAGCAGCAGGCACCAGGTGAGTCCTGAAGACAAACACTGGTACTCCGAGCCCTCCAGTGTCTACAACATTGACGGTCCCCTTTTGTTCAGTCAAGTCTTCATAAAAACAAAACTGTAGTACTCTCATGTTCTGTGGTTAAATTGCACTTTGTTCAGTTTAAACTTCCAATGACCCGGAACAGGTTAAATGATACGTGTGGTCTGCTGAACTGTGGTCACTCATGCTAAGGCAAACTAAAGGATATAGGACCCCTATACAAAACCTGGCCTGGAGTTACTGTTTGGGAAGCGAAAGATCAACAGGAGCTGCTCATACAATGTTTTCTAACTTACCTGAACTTCAACTCCACCCCGTTTAAAGTTTAAATTGTGCTTTTTAATCATTGGCAGATACGTTTAACAAAATACAGCATATAAACAGGTCTGCGCATACAACTATATAGATTCCTCTGCTCTGCTGTCTTCCTGAGAAATCTCTGTAAGCATATAAACAATCTTTTTAAAAAAAATAGTACTTAGAAACAGTAATCTTTATGAAGAATTTCTATATAAAAACCCAACTATAAAAAAATCTTAGGCACAAATGGTATGCATGTCTCACTGAAGTCGTCTATGGAGAGGTGGCTAGTTCCATTTTCCTGTTAATTGTCTTCTACCAGCTGCTTCTGTAAGCTGAGAAAAAGATGAGAAGTATTTGTTAAGTGGTTAGGACAAATCCAAAGGGAGCATTCTAAGCTGGAGAGAGTCCACAATCATCTTAAGAGTACAAAGCCAGAACCCAGATCTCCTGCCATTCGAAGCATCACTAACAAGACACCCTCCGGTCGAGTATGCCCTAAGCATGACTTCCCACACACTCACATTCCGTCTCCTCACCCTAAAGTGCACACTGCCTCAACTTTCTCTGCGCATTAGGGTTAGGGCTGCCTCTGGCTCTTCATAGACTGTGCCATTTCTCCTTAGCTTGCCTTGTTCACTCCTTCCATTTCTTTTTTTTTTTTTTTTTTTTTTTTGAGACAGAGTTTCGCTCGTTACCCAGGCTGGAGTGCAATGGCGCGATCTCGGCTCACCGCAACCTCCGCCTCCTGGGTTCAGGCAATTCTCCTGCCTCAGCCTCCTGAGTAGCTGGGATTACAGGCACGCGCCACCATGCCCAGCTAATGCTTTGTATTTTTAGTAGAGATGGGGTTTCACCATGTTGACCAGGATGGTCTCGATCTCTTGACCTCGTGATCCACCCACCTCGGCCTCCCAAAGTGCTGGGATTACAGGCGTGAGCCACCGCGCCCGGCCACTCCTTCCATTTCTGACATACACCTCAAGAAAAAAATCTTGGTTAAAGGCCACGTGGAGTTGAAAAATCTAGCAAAGGAGAACATTCCCTAATAGGGAAAATATCAGGCCTGAGCTTCTCCAATGCAAACAGATGCAGAATGGCACTCGTGCTTTATAAAAATCGGTCCAAGAGGGTCTCTCTTGCTCGGCCTGGGGATTTCAAGATCTGTAAACTACTAGAGACTTACCTCTCCAGATACTCCTTAACATTGTTATAACCATAAAACTTGGCCAGATGAATGAGGATTCCCGTGGCACAGCGGCCGTCACGCTTCCGACAGTAGCTGCAATTGCAGATCCCACGACAGGGAGGACACACCCAATCCTAACGGAGAGATGACAACAGAAACTTCCCTATCTGCAGGCTCTGGCCAGAACTGAGATTTGGATCCAGACTGGCCTGTCCCCCAACTTTTAATCACATGGCATCTTTCAGTCTACGCCGCAGGGGATTCCTCATGAGGCAGGAAGGCTCATCACCCCATGTCACATGCAAACACTGAACAACAATGGGTTTCAGGGCCCCCTGCTTAAAACTTATGGAGAATTTCACCAGCATTTGGCCCAGCATAGGGCCCTGTGTGAGCGTGCACGTCACAGCCCAGAATGTCAGCCATGGTTTAGGAGCACAAGGTTTCCAAAAGATCAAGGTGTGAATTTCAGCCCTTCCAGTATGTGTGCTTGTTGAATGACTAACCTGACCTGAGCAGCAGTTTACGTTCGTCTGTCAATTTAGGATGATATATTTACCCCGTGACTGTTGCCTAAGAGGTCATACTCGGTAGCACGACTGCCCCAGGCTCAAGGTCGTGCTTACTAACCGTGATACTATGTCTCATTTACTGAGGCAGAGAGGGGTTATACACGTATTTCACGGGATTAAACATTTATGATAGAGTGAGCAACACTTGCACGGTGCCGGGCACACAGAACACAATCTATACTGCAATCTACACCCGTCTCAGCCTGGCCCAGAAAAAAAAAAATCAGAGGGAAATCACTTTGCTGAAGGAAGGGTACAGGAATTACTTGTACAAAGCTAGACAAGTGTAACCAAGTTTTGTTCTGACAATGGAAAATCTAACAAATTATGTTCACTGGTCAGCTTGCTCTCCTTCCAGGAGTCCCTATTTTTCTTTTTCCCTGGAGCTTTAAGGTACAGATGGAAGGCAAAAAACCCAAGTTCTGGAGCTCCCAGTGAGAGCCCAGGAGCCCCACTTCGGCTTGCTTCCTTCGCCCATACAATTTACGACAAATATAAACCCTGCACCTACCGGGTCCAGCAAGGCCGACCTGACATCCTCCCCATAGCGGTTCCGCAGGCATGGTCCACAGAACTGTCCCCGCACACCACCGCAACCCTGGTTCCGACACACCGTCTTGGTGTCGATGGTCTTCTGTCGACACTGATGGCACGTGTTACCCTAGAGGGTGAAGGCAGTGAGCAGGTGAACTCAGGGATATGCTGATGCCCATTTCAGGCCAGATGCCATCAGGTGCATTACCAAGTGCATGAAGAAATACCACCTGTCTCCTCAAATCAAGCAGGACTGTTTTCCTAATAAGAACCATAGCATCGTCTCTAGACCAGGGGTTCCCAGCCCTCAGGCCAGTACCAGTCTGTGGCCTGTTTGGAACTGAGATAGATGCACAGCAGGAAGTGAGCAGCGGGTGACTGAGCATTACTGCCTGAGCTCTGCCTCCTGTCAGATCAGTGGCAGTGTTAGCTTGTCACAGGATCACAAACCCTATTGTAAATTGCACACACAAGGGATCTAGGTTGTGCTCCCTTTTAAGAATCTAATGCCTGATACCTGAGGTGGAACGGTTTTATCCTGAAACCATCCCCTTTCTGTCCCCCCAAATCCATGGAAAAATGGTCTTTCACAAAACTGGTCTCTGGTGCCAAAAAGGTTAGGGACTACCGCTCTAGAATGTAAGCATCCCAGGTCTAGGGCCAAGGAGCACATGAGGTCAGATAAGGCAGAGCAGAGCCCCATCTGAAATGATCAGACTGTCAGGAAGAGAGACCAGGGAAAAGCTTAAGGCAAGGGTGGCCGAGCCCCTGACAGGTGACTGCGTAGCAATGAGCCTTGGATGGCGTCACCTCGGTTCCACCTTAGCTCTGCAGACCTGGATATCTTCAATGTGAATCTATTCTTTTTAAAATATTGGCAACTAAATGTAAAGCATTTTAATACTATCTTAAGACAGTGTCGCACTACTTATCTAGAGAACACATACAAAAGCAGAATATAAAGCTTCCCTCGAAATCACCATTTAGAAGAAATTTAACCGGTTTTCTACCACAGACATTCTGCCAACCGTTATTTTCTACGGTTATGTTACCCCCAAAATACACTATCTTTTTCCAGTATTTAAAACATAAAACTATACAATATTTAAACCATAACAGTTACGTGCAAAATCCCTTTTAAACTATACCCTTGCCTTCTCCCAGGTTTGTAAGAGAGCACACCGTCCCAATGGGAAATACTGCACTAAGCTGACCCCCTTTTCCCAGGTACAGCTGACCCTTGACCCTCCAATTCAGAGCCTGGCTCTGAGCCCTTGGTGAGATGGCATAAGCCCTGATCCATCTTAAAAACACGTGAGATTTCAAATACCAATGCCTTAGACTCCCAATAAGAATGGCAATCATGCAGATTACTCATAATACAGAATTTACCAGAACTTTATCATAGATTTTATCTCGAACAGTTATGGCAACATTTTCTAAGTCCTCTTCGGTGATATCCTCCACTGGCCGAAAAGAAGATACACGGTGACGTCGTCTGTACTCCTGGCATTTCCCCTGCACAATGAACACAAGCAGAACCTAGAGTGAGCTGTTTTGAGCAGTCATAAAAAACTGTACATATTTTAAACTCTCAAAAGGTCTAGCCCCATTCATGTTAACCCAGTCCCTCTTCTATTTCCCTGCAGCCATTTCATTTCCGTATTTACTGAGATTCTGCTACCTGCCAAGCTTCCTTCTCAGCAAGGCAATACAATCTTAGAGGAGAAACTCAAGGTTTTTGGTTCTTTGCTGTGAACTCTGAGGAGAGATGAACCACACTGAACAGCCAAACCCACAAATGGGTCCAAAGTTTTTCCCTCCAAACTGAAAGCGCTTGAAATGTCTAAGGCAGGCGTCCCCAAACTTTTTACACAGGGGGCCAGTTCACTGTCCCTCAGACTGTCGAGGGCCGCCACATACTGTGCTCCTCTCACTGACCACCAATGAAAGAGGTGTCCCTTCCCGAAGTGCGGCGGGGGGGGGGGGGAGGGGGCGGATAAATGGCCTCAGGGGGCCGCATGCGGCTCGCGGGCTGTAGTTTGGGGACGCCTGGTCTAAGGCCTAAAACAGAAAAGCAAAGAGGAATCACTGTACTTTTCCACGAAGTGGAAACCACAAAGCTGACTGGAGCTGTGGACAGGCCTTTACTGCCTACCGCAGAGATCAAAGCAGCGTCCTAACAAATGGGCTGCTTTTCAGCTCAGCTTGGATAAAGGCTCTCTGTGACCGCCAGCTCAGACCAGCACTGCTTCTCCAAGTGTGCTCTCGGGAGCAACGGCATCACCGGGGACCAGATGGCAATGCGAGTTCTCAGCTGCTGCAGACCCGCCGGATCAGAACCAGCCCTGGGTGAGAGCAATGTGCATTCACGTCCGGAGCAACAGTGACTCAGACAAAACTAATCATCTATTCGTCAGAAAATACCCCACTAATTGTCTTCCTCCTTCGGAAACTGTAAAATTCTTCTGCAAATTTGGCGGCTGAGACGGTGAAGTTCTCTAGAGCAAACTTCTCAGGAGGCCGCGCACTCCGGGTCGGGTTCATGCGCCGTGTGATCTGTCCCTCTGAGAAGGCCCGCCTCACTGTTTTCTTCCTCTGAAATCAAGAGCACAGACAGAAGCAAATGGGGACTCTTGAACAAAAGCCATCTGGTGGCTGATCACCATGTATCAGTATGGGTATAATTATAAGGAGTTCTACTTACAGAAGCTGAGGTCGGGGTTCGTACCGGGAAGAAATCTGGCATTGAGTTCAATTCTGCCAATAACTGAGCAAGCTGAAGTTCAGAACAAAAGAAAGAATTTTACATAAGTAGTGCTCCAGGGCTAGGTCATCCAACACCTATCTCAAGTCTTCCATTCTGCTACAGTAAGAAACCTAACTTGAATAGGTTATGTAACCCACAACACTTACACTTTTAACCTCACATGTGAAGATTTTATCTCCAGACCTGTGATGCTGATGTCATCATTCATGTGAATGAACACTAGCCTATTCCTTACGGGTAAGGACAACACAACACTATGAAACAGTCCTGAATGAAACAGTCTGGATGCAGACCTGGAGCATGAAATTCCAAACCTGACCTGAAGGCTAATCCAAGGTGGTGTCAATTCGTTTTGTACATGTTAGTCTCAAGTTTCAGGATGTTCAAAAAAGAAGAAGCTCAACTAGATTATTTCAATGCTTATTTAGAGCTCCAAAACTCTGATTTTTTAAATAGGTTAATTTCTCATCAATAAAAGTAATTTACGAACATATTCCTAAATGGATAATAACATCAAATAAGAGGCATCAATATGCCAGATAATTTAATTAGGATTCATTTTAGTTTATACAATTATATGAGTGTCACTAAAAAAAAAAAAATTTTTAATTTTTTTTTTTTTTTTTTTTTTTTTGAGGAGTCTTGCCCTGTCACCAGGCTGGAGTGCAGTGGATCTTGGATCACTACAACCTCTGCCTCCCGGGTTCCAGCGATTCTCCTGCCTCAGCCTCCCGAGTAGCTGGGACTACAGGTGTGCGCCAAGATGCCCAGCTAATTTTTGTATTTTTAGTAGAGACGGGGTTTCACCACGTTGGCCAGGATGCTCATCTCTTGACCTCGTGATCCACCTGCCTCGGCCTCACAAAGTGCTGGGATTACAGGCGTGAGCCACCGTGCCCAGCCAGCTCTTAAAGATGCAGATGGATACAGTCCTGAAAATTTCCCTTAGCTAAGTAAAAATGTTTCTTAGGATAAAATTAACCCACAAGTAGGCATTCCATTTTTGTAAGTAATTTATATTAGACAGATAAATGTCATTTATATTAGACATATAAATGTCATTCTTTTTTAAAAAGGAAAAGATTTTAAAAAACACCAAAATGCTAAAAGCGTTAAGTGGTAGAACTATAAAAAAAATTCTGTCGATAAACAATTATGAAGCAAACAATGATTCTCTACAATGATCAGATTAACAGTAATTGATTACATACAGAAAAACCAAATATATATATATATATATTTTTTTTTTTTGAGTCGGAGTTTTGCTCCTGTTACCCAGGCTGGAGTGCAATGGCGCGATCTCGGCTCACCGCAACCTCCGCCTCCTGGGTTCAGGCAATTCTCCTCTCTCAGCCTCCTTAGTAGCTAGGATTACAGGCACGCACAAAACCAAATATATTAACAAAGATTTCGCCTTGTTCTATTAATTGTTCTAATGAAGACATTTTAGAGTGAATTAACAGCGTTGAGGTCCTTTTAACTCCGAAACCTCTTCCATTCCTTGAGATGTCTTAGAACCAAGGCCAGTCATCACAGAAGAGTAGTTTCTAGGTGAAAAGCTACCTGCCCAATCTGCTCCTTGCAATTCCTCCACGGACTCAGTGATATCCCACTCCCCCTGCTTTACTCTGCTGGGAACAGGCCAATTGTTCAGCCCATCTCATCCCCACCACCACACTATACTCTCAGAACTGAGCGTGGTCAAGAGAAAGCAGCATTAGTTCGTGGCACCATGGAGGGGCTAAAAATTGTCCTAGGGAGTCTCTCTGTTCCCAAACCAGAGCTGATCATGTAAATAGTTGCTTTGGGTTCTGGAAAAGCAAAAGGATACACAAAAGGATACACAATACCCAGAGTATATTTTCCTGACAGATGCCAAAGCAACAGCAGTATCTATAGGAGCAAAGTGGTTCTGGGAGCCCAGCAACTGCTGCCAGAGCCTGGAGCCCACTCCCAGGGCGCCCCGCACGAGCCTCACCATGGCTTTGTTCTCCTTGATGTTCATGGTCCTTTTCAGCAGAGCATCCGAACTCTCCTGGCTCTCATCCCGAGAGTCGTCCTCAGACTCAGACGTAGAATCTTCCCTTTGCATCACCTGTCGACGGCCTTTCTTTCTTCCAAGAACTGCTCTTTTCTCATTCTGTAAGTGTGAGCTGGAAAACAGCTGCTCAGAAGAACTGTTTTTATCTGGTTTGTTGGCCAGCTTCTTAGTGGGGAACTGAAAGGCTACTCGAAGACCAATACTACCTCTTCGAGACCTGCTTCTTCTTGGGGTAGCCTTATCTTCTTCATCTTCCTCTTCCTCGCTCACCAAAGATACTTTGCCATCATCACTCAAATCTGACTCCACGAGCTAATAAAATAAAAGCAAGAAAAAGCACAAAGACACCGTTTTAGACCCACAAAAAAAACATGCATTTAAAACAACTTTGGTAGTGTATGAGAAATGAAAAGCTTCCCTTTCATATTTTGAGTTCCCTCTGAATTTCTTTTAAATGTGCAAGACATTGGTTGATGAATAAAATCAAAGAACAGGCAATCTACTACTGAACTATGGACCATAAAACCCATGACAGAACTGGATCCATTTGGAGCATCAGGCTGTAAGCAAAATATAGACAGGGTGGGTTCCTCCACCATGGGAAGACCAAGGATCACCAGCAAGAGGAGAGATAGTCACAGAAAAGGGTATACACGACAGATGTGATCTGCAGACAAGCAATGGTGCTAAGGGGAAAAAGTGCTGACTGGTCTCCTCAAATAGCAGGAACCAGACTTCCAAGTAAGAGGGCAAGAGATCTGACTGCACCTCAGGGCAGTGACCCAGGACAGGCTGATGACCTGCCACTGGGTCCTCAGTCAAGGGGCACCCTTCCTTTCTCTGGAACCCTCAGAGCCATGGGGTGAAATCAAGTCAGAAAGCTCTACAGGTTGTAGCAACACAGCACTTGGTCAACTCAAGAAATCCTCCCCCTACGTTTTCAAGTTCCACATGGTATAGGTCTCCAGCACTCAAACACTGCTCCGCTTTACAAGTGAGAACTTAGTATGGAAGGCAGTAACAGGGTCACAACACCTAAGTGACATGTGATGAGACTCTTAGCAGTGGTATGTGAGATTCAGGACATCTTCTGGGCATCTTTCCGTGACCACTTAAGGAACCGCTATCTGGGAATTCCAAAAATCTACCGAGAACATGGAGTGGCAGCAGGAGGGACTCAGGACTCAGTTCAGGGACTCCACTTCCTCGCCAGTGACCACCATCACCCCCCCACCAAATTCTAGCTGGACTAGAGTTAGAAATAAGACAGAGGAAGAAAGAAAATGCAGATGACTGCCAACCCTGGTATAGCCACACCAAGCCTAGGGAGAAATAAAACTGTACGGCACTGATTTTTCTATTTTTTTAATACCCTGACCTTTCCACATTACTTTCCACATTAGTAGCTTCAGAATTCAAAATAGTGTAGTGCAAAGGAACTCAATTTTAGGGGACACTGTCAGGGAAGAACTTCTGTTTTGATCCATTTCTCTTCCATCCGTATCATCATCAGGCGCCTCTCTACCACAGACAGACGTGGAACCGCTCACTACAGAGGCCTGGAGGAAGGGAAGAACAAACTGTCCACAGCAGCCCAGAATCAGACCTGAGAGTAAAGCACAGTCTAGCACGTGGATGTGGCTATGTCACATCCGGCCCACAGATCCCTGGAAACCAAGGTGACAGCAATATCCCATTTAGCAAGAGAGAGGGTCTCTCCAGTTCCCACAAGGGTGGGCAGGAGGTTGGGCTGGGAGGCAACCATGGTTTTCTTCTCACTGGCTTCTAAAATAAAATCTGCAGGGGCCTGTGCTGAACCGTACACCGTCTCATGATCTATGTAACACATCGCAGTCCACAGACATGGGGCGGGTGGGAAGGAAGACTTCGAGGGAAATTCACTTTCTCTCACTAGAAACACAAATGCTTCAAAGAACCCAACATCACCTCACTGAACAACAGAAGATAAAGTCAGTCGCTAAGACATGATGCCCATTAGGGGTTTAGAAGGATCTTAGTATCTTGCTGGCAAGCAACTGAGGACTTTCTGGCCGGAACTGATGACCCGCCACACAAACAGCTTCTGCAAAGAGAGCCAGAGGAGAGCTGGGGCCTCCAGGCTAGCACAGCTCTACATTGCTATTCATGGCAAAAAGTCACCATCAAACCAAGCAGCCTACCACGAGGGCTTTTATACTCTTAAGTCCTCTCCCAGGACAGCTGAGGGACAAGGCCAGCCTAGGAGTCACGGCTTGTTTATACCTCTACCTAGGCTCTGTGCCAAAAGTTAGTCCTAAGCAGTTTCTGGCTGTGAAGAAGCTTAAACCCCAAGTTCCATCTTCATACTGAAGAAGAAAACAGCATGGTTGGTTGGTTTTGTTTTGTTTTGTTTTGTTTTTTTTTTGGCATAAATGTATGCTATTTTTAGTTAGCGTTAAGTGTTCTTTACTTAAATCCAAAGGCTGTGCCTTAAAGTTACCTTAAGATTCAAACACAGCTGGGCAGTCAACTAGCCTAACTGTGCAGAATAACATGAAGAGATCAACTAATAAGTCTGCTCACAGGAAGTGCTGAGAGTAGACTTCCCTCCAGAATCCAGGTAGGTCATCTTTAACGCTAAAAAAGCATAACAAATCCAAATCCACAGTGCACGGGGAACACCAAAATTGTACCACAGCCAAATTTTTGCCACACTGACTTCAAACCAAAAACGATCACTTCACACACCGTAAGAATCTCAAGAAAACTCTGAGATAAATTACTTTAATTTTTTTTTTTTGAGAGGGAGTCTCACTCTGTCACGCAGGCTGGAGTGCAGTGGTGTACTCTCAGCTCACTGCAACCTCCACCTCCCAGGTTCAAGCGATTCTCCTGCCTCAGCCTCCCGAGTAGCTGGGACTACAGGTACTCACCACCAGGTCCAGCTAATTTTTGTATTTTGAGTACAGACACGGTTTCACCATATTGGTCAATCTCGTCTTGAACTCCTGACCTCAGGTGATCAACCAACCTTGGCCCCCTAAAGTGCTGAAATTACAGCCACCGTGCATGGCTCCTTTTGAGAAGGACGATAAAGGATGCCTGGGACACATCCCCAAACCCCACAGCAACAAGGGGAAGATTCTCTTAAGAGGATAATGGACTGGTGGACCAGGGATTAGCCTTCTAGGAGCGTGGTTTTTTTTTTTTTTTTAGGTTATGTTAATTAGCTTGAAAGATAAATATGTAAGAAAAAGTAGTATCTTTTTACTCGTGAAGTGACTTCTTACAAGTGGAACTCTAATGCAGAAAACAGGATGACAAACATCACCACCCACATCCCTTCCGTTTTAATTATTACCATTACTTCTGGGTTAGTCTTTCCATTCAGATCACTCTGTGTAAATCCTGCAAAATCCTCAGTCTCTGAGTCAGTGTCCTCTATAAAAATTCTTCTTAGCTCTTCCGTAAAGTATTTGGAATGAAAGCGCATATCCTGCTAAATTAAACACACACATACATCAGAGGCGGAAAGTGGAATAGAGGTTACCAGGGAAGGGGAGAATGGGGAGCTACTGAACAGGTGCAGAGTTTCTGATGCAGATGATGAAAATCTTCTGAGATGGATGGTCAACACTGTCAATGTAATTAATGCCACTGAACAGTACACTCAAAAACAGCTGAAATGGTATATATTTCATGTTATGCATACTTTACCACAATTAAAAAAAAAAAAAAAGGAAAACACTGGCTGGGTATAGTAGCTCATGCCTGTAATCTCAGCACTTCGGGAGACCAAGGCAGGCAGATCACTTGAGCTCAGGAGTTCAAGACCAGCCTGAGCAACATAGTGAGACCTCGTCTCTGCAAAAAATACAAAAATTAGCTGGGTCTGGTGGCGTGTACCTGTAGTCCCCAGCTACTCAGGAGGCTAAGGTGGGAGGATTACCCACACCTGGGAGGTCGAGGCTACAGTGAGCGGAGATCACACCGTTGTACTCCAGCCTGGGTTGCAGCCGAGATCACACCACTGTCACTCCAGGCTGGGTGACAGACACCCTGTCTCAAACCCATATACATACATGTATATTTTATATACATACACATTTTCTAAAGCTTACAAAATTCAGACCTACAAATCAGACAGTTTTTAAAAATCAGCATGGGTGTAGTCTCAATCAGCTTCTAACGTGACTGGTAAGTGCTCATGGAATTCAGCTTCTCCTGCCAGAGCTGGCACCCAGAAACGTCTGCTTTCCCACAGAACCAAAACACATGGAAAGAAGACATGAGGAGAAAACCTGGCTCCCTCCCACATGCTGGCTTCCCTTTCCAACAGCCTTTCAAAGCCAGAGTCTCCTCCAAGTGGGTGAGCATGCCTCCCGTTCACCAAGAGCGAGTTTCCCTGTAGGAAAAGGCTGAGTCCTCTCCCAGCCCTCACTACCCATGACCAGAGAGCCTAGACTTGCTCCATGACCAGACACGCCTGATGGAAAGCTCACCCAAGGTCACCCCCAGAGAACTTCTCTTCTGCATGAGGTGAGAGGTGAGCAACCGTGGCAAGGTGTCAAGTGAGCAGAAGGAAAGATGCAATGTGACTCTAAGAAAAGGCATTTTCTAATAATGACTTTTTCTTTCTTTTGAAATAGTGCAAAGAAGGAAACCCAGCTCTCTTAACAGTATGCTTGAAAAAAAAAAAAAAAAAAACTGTAGGCCAACGGGAGACCTGCGAGACCAGCCTCCTGCCAGGCTGCCACGCCTCATCGGGGCTCGAGTCTGTCCCCAGCTTCCTTTGCCATCTCTTCCCCGCCATCCCTGATAGAGCAATGACCCCTCTTAACACCACACTTGGCTGAGAATCTGTATCTCCCCCGCCGCCTTTCCTCGACTGTAATTATACACTTCTTCAAGCTCATATATCTCTGGAGAAAAACAGACATAATGGACAAGTAGAAAAACTTACAGGGGCAAACAGAAAGAAATGTCTCCATCTAGCATTCTGTACACTTAAAAATGTCTCCTATGAATTATTATGGGTAATTGGAGTGAGTCTGCTCAGAGCTAAATTACTTTGTTCCTTTGTTGATAGCTGTAATGCAGCTGCTTGAAGAAGAAAAATTGCACACACAAAAGCGAAGTTTCTTTAAAGTGAAATTCAAATCGTATTTAAGGGAGACCAGAGTTAGCATACGCATGCTGTGTGCAAGTTCACACAGCTTCTGTTGGCTAAATGGATCTTGTGCGTGTGGGGTCAGGGTAGGGAAGTAGCAGGCCAGGGCTTGATTATTAAGGAAGAATGGTATACAGCTGCTGCTAAGGAAACCCAACACGCACCTGAAGCCTCTCAGTGCAGGAAACATCTGGCTCACAGAGCCTTAGGCAGCCCATGCAGGCTGATTTGGAGGCGTATTTCTGTGTGTAAATTTCATCAACTACTTAAAGCCCCTGCCTAGGCCCTGAAGAGAACAGACCAAGCCTTGAAGCAGTGAGTTCCCGTCTTCCATTTTTTTTCTGGTTCTTTCGGTCCTGTGTGCTGGCCTCACAGGGCAATAGGCAGCCTGGGAGATGATGGTCAGTCCTGATAGAGAAAAACAACTTACTGTTGTCATGAACTGAGGCCTATGCTTTAGTTTCTTTACTCCAAAGTGTGTAAACACTGTTTTTCACATGGGTCTATAGGACATCAATCTCCACTCAACACTGTTCCACTGCATTCTTAGTTACAAACCCTTGCACTGCTAGTTGCTTTCTGGCACTGGTTGATTCTCCTTCAAAATCAATTCTGGGCATTATGCTAGGGGCCTTGGTCATCTACCCTGATCAGGACCATCAGCAAATAACGCATCAGAGGAAAAGCTAACCTAGGTGGATAACCTTTTTATTTTGAAGCCCATGTGACAAGAAGAAACAGACTGGAGAGCAATGGCCTGTTGAATCAAACAAGCAGACAAGCACCCCATTTCAACTGCGCCCTGCAAACAAACCCCGCCCCGTGCTCACTGTATACAGTCAGGTGGAGCCTGAAACGAGAGGAAAGGGATGATACATGAGGACAAAAAGTCAGAGCCAGGGACGCTAGAAAGCACCATTCAAGTAGGAGTCTCCGCTTCTTCAAAGAGTTTATAGTCTAAGAGGGAGGCAGACCGGTCCACAAATAATCCTGGTGAGGGTCAGTGCTCTAAGGGATACTCAAGTAATACAGCACACGGAGGGAAAGAAAACCCAGTTAGACTTCATGGAAGAAGTAGCGTAACTGGATGTGAGCCAGGGTAGAGGCTAGAAAAATGGTGAGAGCAGACAGGCAGGAAGAACAGCATGGACCAGTGGGCAGAAAGGGCAGAACAGTGGATAATGAGAATGTCAATGCAGTTCCTGTGCCCTGCAGCACAGCAGGTAGGAAAGAGGCCCCGCGGGGTAAGAGGCTGCGAAGTGGCGGCCCTGGATTTGGAACATCCCAGCTTGCTACTTCCCAGATGTGGGGCCCTGGGCAAGTCATTTCACCTTCCCGAACGTCAGTTTCAGCACTTGCAAAATGGGGATAGTAACACCACCGGCAGCTTCCTGGGACGTCCGTGGATTAAATGTAGTATCTGTATGAAAAGCAGTTGGCATACTTTCCTCCCTGGCGAGGACAGACCTGACTTCAAAAGCAGTCGTCATAGCAGCAGAAGCAGCTGTTCTGTTTCTTAAAGCCCGGTGCCTGCCAGGCTCTGTGGTTGGCACTTTAGACATGTTCTGCCCTGCTCAAATGCTCCTCAAGGTGGATCCGGCAGGCTCTACTCTCCCCACTGCCTGACTGTGATCAGATAGAGGGCTGGGCAATCTCTGAGTCAGGGAGGAGCCGACCGGAGCTCAGTCCTAGAACAGATCCTAGCAGGAAGGGATGAGCATTCAGGCAAGAGCTACAAGGGCTTCCGCAGCTGCAGAAGGAAGGGAAGGACAAACAGGAGGAACACAGCAGAAGTTTCATCAACTCCCGGACGAACGCTGGGGAAATGGAAGAGGGGAAGGAGGGTCGAGAACAACAAAAGATGGAGATCAAGATGGGGAAAGGGGGAAGCCAGAAAGACAACCAAGGGAAAGAAAAGTGAGTTTCAGATCTCCCTTAGCAACCAGTCCAACTGGTAGTCAGAAACCACCGGGGGCTGAAGAGAGAAGACAAGCTCCACAAAATACAGTACCAGCTCAAAGCGAGACAACAGACAAGATGGCTAAGTAAGAAGATTGAAGACAAAACCTCAGGGAACATCTGCATTTAGGGACAGGAAAAATAAGCGACATTACCAAAGAGCAGGCTAGGTGCAGTGGCTCATGCCTGTAATCCCAGCACTTTGGGAGGCCGAGGCAGGCAGATCACCTGAGGTCAGGAGTTCGAGATCAGCCTACAACATGGTGAAACCCCGTCTCTACTAAAAAAAAAAATGCAAAAACTAGCCGGGTGTGTTGGCACCTGTAATCCCAGCTACTCAGGAGGCTGGGGCAGGAAGAATTGCTTGAACCTGGGAGGCGGAAGTTGCAGTGAGCTAAGATCATGCCACTGCACTCCAGCCTGGGCGACAGAGCAAGACTCCATCTCAGAAAGAAAGAAAAAAGAGCAAAAGGTGTGTAACAGAGAGGAAGTAATCCACAGGTTAGAAGGACGTGGCTAGTAGGATCAAGTGCTGTGGAGATGTTAAATGAGACTCAGATGGCAGAGACCAGGGAGCCCCTGGTGATCTTGGAAAGCACAGCTCCCACCCAGGCCAGAACTTAAAATGTCCCGCATAAAGCGGGTACTTCACTTACATATAATTCACTGCTTCCCTTCCTGTACTTGCCAGGTAGAAGCAAGGTGGGCTTAATTTGCTGCCTTTTTGGAGAAGCCATGGTCACGGGAGAATGAAGACTTCTGAGTGCCGCAATCAACTCAGAAGAAAATGCCACTGAAGGGTAGAGATTCTGATTGGCCATTCTACTACTAGCACACAATGTGAACCTCCAGGAATCTACTTCTCAGAAAACTGTAACTTGTGCGTGCTGGAGATCAAAGTCATTAACGCAAGAATAAGGCTCTCCCCAGCAATTCCAAGAGTGGCGTGCCAACAGAATGGCACCACAGGACCACAGAGGTGCAATTATCTCCCAGTAACCACACGATCCCCCATGGCTTGCCGCAGCCTCGCCTCTGTGGGAAGACTCTGAACACAGCGTCGCTGCAGGTTACAGGCCCAAGGCAGCCAAGAAAATGCACTTGATCATGTGAGGTCCCTTTATTTTTTTTAAAAAATCCCTGAATTATGGTACAGAAAAGGATTAACACAGCAAAGTGAACTAGGTTGTTTCATCAGTTTTTTTAAAACAGGAAGGCATAACATTTCTAAAATAAAATGCTAGACAATGAACTGCTATCACCAATCTCACACTATGTTCAGATAAAAGAACATCCCAACCAAGATTCAGGCTTCCAGATGAACACATCTGCTTGGAAGGAGGCATCCATACCTGTTTCCCTGACTCCAGTGAGTCAAAACTATCGCAGCTCTCCTCTGACGAGAGGGTTTCCATGGGAACATCGTCTCGGAAGCCCACGAACTCTTCATCATCACTGGGGGCGTTAAAGATATCAGCCACTTCTTTAGGGATCTGTTTTGGATTCAAAAGAGGCAGGATTAAACCAGGGGTTCTTGGTAATCACTTAGGGACATTTTCTGGAGGGCAGCAGAGATCTCACCACTTCATCTAACTGCCATGGTTGCCCAGAAGTCCCCAGTAACCCTGAGTAAAACACGCTTCAGCTAAGACCTCATGGCAAAATAAGGGGTGTGTAGAGGGGGAGACAAAACTTAAAATTCTAGACATACACCCTCTTTTACAGAGAATGTTAAAACCAGAGAGAGAAGACATTTTTGATCTCCTGACCAAAAAAAAATTTTTTTTCTGAGAACCAATGATCTTTTTTTTTCTCCCACAGTGGATGCATCTTTAAATGTCATCTACATAAAATGGTTGCCATAAAATATGATTAAGCTCTTTTCTTAATGTTCACCTACATTATTTATTTTTCTCTTCTTTGTCATATGGTGACTCAGAAAGTAGAAAGTTCATGCAGTGAAATAAGTAGCTTTCCTTCTCTTCAATATTGAAGTCAACTTAAGTAGTTGGAAATGAATTCCAAGAAAATCTAACTGCCATTAGGGGGACGACTGACCCCAGAGGGGACACGGTCAGCACACTTAATCCACAAATATGTATCTGCTGGAGTTCATTTTTTAAGTTGACTATTTTCTCCCAAATCTTTGTTTTCAAAAAGTTCAAACACACAGAAAGGTGAAAAAAATAGTACAAACACCTGTCAATTCATTATCTAGAGCCACTATTTGTCACTGCATTTGCCTTCTTTCTCTTTTTCATCGAGTATCAAGTTGAACCATGGGCATGTGATGATCTTTGGCTGTTTTTAACCTAGGAAAACAGCATTTAATAGGAGCCAGCCTCATTCATATACATCCACACACTGATGTAATTTGCAGACACTTTATTGATTGGCCCTAATGTAATTCAGCATGTATCTCCCAAGGATGAGGACATTCTCCCATAGCACCCACAGAACCAATGTTAATTATGTTTGGTGCAGCAAACATAATTAACATTAATTTAACAGTAAGAGTTACTGTAATTCTACATTTTAATATCTGCAACTGTTCCCAAAATGTCTTTTATAACTTTTTGGAAACAGTAACAGCCACACAAGCAAGGTTTGGTATTGCATTTGATTGTTTTTTATGACATTGTTTTTTGCTGTTTTCCACGACACTGACTTTTTCTTAGACTACGACAACTGCCTTGTAGAATGTCATGTATTCTGAGCTTATCTGAGTGATTCCTCATGATTAGATTCAGGTTACATATTTTTGGCACCAATTCTACATATGTGACATGTACTTCTCAATGCACTGCATAAGCGGGCACAAAATGTCAAGCTATTCCACTATTAATTAGTAACTTTAAGATATTTTTCGTTGTAGAAACTTCCAAAGATATTTCAAAAGTAGATGGGATATTTTAATGAGCACACATTGATCCTCCCAGTAATTATCTGCCCATGGCTAACTATGCTTCCCCTGTATCCCAACCCAACCCCTCTTCTTCCAAATTCTTGTGAAACAACCGTAGACACAGTACCATGTCACTCTGCAGCATCATCAAATGCGCAGTCTGTATTCACAATTCTTCTGCCTCATTTTTTAAAAGCTTAGTTTATCTGCATCGTGATCCAAATAAGAGTCACATACTGCTCAACATGCCTCATAAATCTCTTCTCATCGCTCCTTTATCTTTTTTTTCTCTTGCAGTTTATTTTCGAAGAAACTGGGTAATTTGACTGTGGAGTTTGCCCAAGTCCGAAGTGTGTGTGTGTGTGTGTGTGTGTGTGTGTGTGTGTGTGTTTGCAGCCCAAGGTGGTGTTTAACAGGCTCATTTGGGTTTTCTATAATTTGGGAGTTGAATCTGGAGGCTCACTTCTAGTTTGCTAGCTTTTGCCAAGACTACTTAAGTGTTCGTAGAAGTTCTGCCTTTGGAAAGCCTGTAAAGTCTGGCTGTCTCTTTTTTTAGCAGTGCTGCTGCTTGGTCAACAAGTTAAGGTGGAATCAGCCTGAATTCTTCTTCGCTTTAAAAAAAAAAAAAAAAAAGGACACACTTTCTCCCTCGTTACTAATAAGGAATATGCAGAGTGATACTTGAGATTCTGTGAATATCCTTCTCCGTAATAACATCTCACTCAACAGTTTGAACACCCATTGACAATTTTTTTTTAATTTTGTATTTTAATAAAGACAGCGTCTGTGTTACCCAGGCTGGTCTCAAATTCCCAGGCTGGTCTCAAATTCCCAGGCTGGTCTCAAATTCCTTGCCTCAAGTGATCCTCTCACTTCAGCCTCCCAATGTGCTGGGATGACAGGCGTGAGCCAGTGCACCCCTGAATCAATGACTATGTGAAGGGGCTGCAAAACACAAAGTTTCAAATTCTCTCTCTCCTTTATAAAGTAGCTGGCATTCTTGTATAACACAGTGTTTCTTTCACTCTCCCCCTTTTCTTCTACCATGTATATCCCATGGACTTTTTTAACATTATTATTCAATGTGTTAAAATCCATACTGTCATACTTCTGACTGTCCCAAATTTGGTCATTGGGAGCTCCTTTAAGTCATCTTCTGTCCTTCTGACATGGCACTAGGGGTCTTTCAACACCTGCTTTCTACACAACAAGCATGGCCAGCTAACCGTGCGCATTTCCTGTCCCAGACTTCAAATCGGCCATTGCTCCAAGGAGCCCTGGAACCTTTCTTGGAAATGGCATCCAAAAACCAAGGTCGGAGAACACGGTGTACCTCTTTGTTAATGAAGCATCATTGCTTGTAGGCTCTTTGGACAGAGCAAGGATATTGTAAATACGTAAATCACAAGTTGATGGTGACACTGTGAATTCAAATCCAACATGGATGCTTCTTCCTCTGCTCCCTCATCCCACATTAGCATCGCCGTTCCACCACCAAGGAAAACCCTCGATTCCCAACATTTTTAATATACTTATCCATGTGGTGCTTTATCTACAATAAACACAAAATAGTGCCAAAGTGACACCACCGACAACAAACAGTGTGTTCAAGATTTCTGTGCAGTTCTTTCGGGCCTTGAATAGAGTCCCACTGCACATGAGATCTTTTCCTTCAGCTGACCAGATGTTCATTGCACTTGGATATGCAAAAATGCTTTACATGTACTTTTTCATCATGCGGTATATTAACAAGATGTCCTTAACAGTCGAGATTTAATGATTTTTACTGTTTCATCAAAACATTCCTATATGAAACTGACATTTTAAATTGAGTGCATGGAGGTGAATAATGCAATGACTGCTACTATAGTTTGCTGCTACCACCTGGATTCCTGCTAAAGGTGAGAAGTTTTTTCCACTTTGGCTTTTGCGTAATCAGTGCAAACATCAACACAGCAAACAGGGCAAATAATGTCTCAGTATTATGATGACAATACATTCGCCCTCATGGACCCGTGAAAGGATCTCAGAGTCCTCCATCTCACACTTTGATCACTGTGCTGGCATACACAGAGTTGTGTATTCAAAAGCTACTTAGCTCCTTGGAATTCTCTGTTTAGGTGTGTTGACTTAATTTTGCATTTAGTCAGGTTCATTTCCTGATTAAAAATAATTAGAAAATAATGGTTCAATCAAAGGAATTGTAACATAAATACAGAGATGGAATACTCCAAGTTCAATGATGCTAACGGGTTAATACAAACACTTTCCCACCACCTAATAAAATCATCTCAAGTTATGAACAGAAATTATAACAGAAGTGGAGCTCCACTGACATATTTTTTGCCAGCCACATGCCAGGGCAGCACTAGCAAAGCCTAACTCTGACATCATTCTTGGGAAAAATACTGAAACTTTTCTCAAGGAGGTATGTTTAACAACATTTGCCACCTTATCTTGTCAAAGACACCTTTTGCTGTTTAGCACTCAGAACTCAGAACTAATATGCAAGGAAAACACCCAGACTAGAGAAACAGACAATATTTAATGAAAGTGAGCCTATGTTGTAGTTACATGACAGCCACTGAGTTCGGTCCCTGCAGAGGCACTGAGATGGGCTATTGTGTCAGTTTCAGTCTTTCTCTTTTTGACTTCTCACCATTCCACAAAAATCAAAAAGCCCTGCTGGCCCAGAAGCTTCTTTAAACATAAATGGTTTAAAGGAGGAGGAACGCCCCATTCATGACATCTAAGGAATGGAGAGGGTCGGTGATAGGAATAAAGTGCTTCCAGCAGCAACTGCATTAGTCCTTGTGCTATTGTGTTCAGCCCACCACTGCTGCGAGCCTGTGTCCGCCTCACTAATTCCTCCTATATCTTTGACTTCTGCATCTCCTCCAGAGGTACGATTAAGGGCCTGTAATTACTGATTAGGAACAAAAGGAAAGAGCACACTTTCAAAAAACACGGTGCATTCTTGGGGCATGCCGGGTTCTGATCCTTGCTGAACTTCAAAAGGTGTTGAAAGAAGAGCTTCAGATAGTCACAAGCTTCCAAATTTGGCAAACACGCAAACACACACACACACACACACACACACACACACACAAACGCACATCACAAGTCTGTACAATATACAGGTGTCATCAATGTAACGAACTGATTTGTTTAACAGATGCAATAAAGGCAGCAAAATTTGTGTGAGAAGGACCTAATGGAAAGGATACACAGGGACACTGTTCTAGCGAATGACCAGTTCCAAAGAATAGCAATACTTGAGGCCCAAGGATCTGTCATTTCCCTGTTCCATTCAGCAGTGATCCACTGAGTAGCTGCACAGTCTAGACAAAATGCAACAGATTTTTTTTTTCAAAGTTTATGTTCCATTCTATTCCAATAATGCCCATCCCAAGACTCACCAAAAAGATAACTAGCAAGTAACTGAAAACAACACAAATACAAAATTTCTCAATCACCGGATGGTATTTACATTAGTTCTTCTAATGTAAATTAGAACTTCCACAAAATTAGGATAACTACAATCTAGCAAACCAAAAATCCCATCTGAAAGTGAAAAGACTATTCATA